ATATGGGGAGGGGGGAGGGGGGAAAGTCAGGTGGGGGGAACCAGAGAGACCCCAAAAGGGAAACCCCATGGGACCCTAAAAGGGGGGCCTGATGGGAAATGGAGTGGGGATGCAATGGGAGCACAATGGGAACCCCAATGGGATCCAAAATGGCGCCCAATGGGAAGCAATATGGCACCCATTGGGAAGCAAAATGGCGCCCAAAGGGAATCCAATGGGAACCCAAGGGGAACCAATATGGCACCCAATGGGAACCCCAGGGGAATCAATATGGCGCCCAATGGGAACCAATATGGCACCCAATGGGAACCAATATGGCGCCCAACAGGAATCCAATGGGAAGCAATCTGGCGCCCAATGGGCACCCAATGGGAACCAATATGGCGCCCAACAGGAATCCAATGGGAAGTAATATGGCGCCCAAAGGGAACCCAATGAGAACCAATATGGTGCCCAACGGGAACCCAATGGGAAGCAATATGGCGCCCAGTGTGAACCAATATGGTGCCCAATGGGAATCCAATGGAAACCCAAGGGGAACCAATATGGCTTCCAACAGGAATCCCAATGCAAACCCAATGGGAAGCAATATGGCGCCCAACGGGCACCCAATGGCAAATCCCAAATGGCCCCCGCCGCCCCCCGCCCCTTTTTGGGGTCTCACCTTTGGCTGAGCCCAAGACGTCGGCGTAGCTGAAGCCCCCCACAAAGACGACCCCCCGGAAGCCATCGAGGGTGGCGGCCCCACTGCAGAGGTCCTCCGTGGTGACATCCCACACCTGTGGGGCACGGCGGGGTCGTGGTTGTGGGGTCAGAGCTTTGGGGGTGGGGGGAACCCCAGCGTGGGGATCCGGAGTGGGAATGGAATGGGACCCCGAATGGGAGCCAATATGGGAACCAATAAGGGAAATAATATGGCTGCCAATGGGAACTAATAGGGAAACCAATATGGCGCCCAATGGGAACCAATATGGCAGCCAATGGGAACCAATAAGGGAACCAATATGGGATCCAATATGGGAACCAATATGGCAGCCAATACGAACCAGTAAGGGAACCAATAAAGGAACCAATAAAGGAAACAATATGGCAGCCAATAGGAACCACTATGGGAACCCCAGTGGGAGCCAATATGGGAACCAATATGGCACCCAATGCGAACCAATATGGGAACCCCAGTGGGAGCCAATATGGGAACCAATATGGCAGCCAATGGGAGCCAATATGGGAATCATTATGGCCCTTGTTGGGAACCAATAAGGGAACCAATATGGCAGCCAATGGGAACCAATATGGGAACCAATATGGGAACCAATATGGGAACCAATATGGGAACCAATATGGCAGCCAATAGGAACCAATATGGGAACCAATATGGGAACCAATATGGGAACCAATATGGAAGCCAATGGGAACCAATATGGGAACCAATAAGGGAACCCATATGAGAACCAATATGGCATCCAATAGGAACCAATATGGGAACCAATATGGCAGCCAATGGGAACCAATATGGGAACCAATATGGCAGCCAATGGGAACCAATATGGGATCCAATATGGCAGCCAATGGGAACCAATATGGGAACCAATATGGGAAACAATATGGGAACCAATATGGCAGCCAATAGGAACCAATAAGGGAACCAATATGGGAACCAATATGGCAGCCAATAGGAACCAATATGGGAACCAATATGGGAACCAATATGGCAGCCAATGGGAACCAATATGGGATCCAATATGGGAACCAATATGGCGCCCAATGGGAACCAATATGGGAACCAATATGGGAACCAATATGGCAGCCAATAGGAACCAATATGGGAACCAATATGGGAACCAATATGGGAACCAATAT